ATAGTAGCAGAAGGAGGCAGAGGAAGGGGATCAGTGTAGCACTTAGTGTGAGGCTAATTTGTGGTATGCCTACTGCAAATGGTCCATGCTGCACTAGCACAATGCTTTATTTGTTCATTTATTTTTCAGCTATCCTTGTATTGATGGTTCTTGGTCACTTTCCTAGTCTGTTCTTTCAGGACAGTTAAGCAACTGTCTTGCTTAACCTGCCTATGTAGATTAGGAACATTCTCTTTGGTCTGTCAGCCAAATAGGCTAGGGACAGAAGTTGCACACACATCAGTTTAAGTGATCAGAAACTGGTTTAAACCTGTAACAGGACAGGAGTTCCATGCACATAAACCAGTTTCAAAACTGGTTTAAGATGAACCTGGTTGAATGTAGTATCTTACTTAATTGATTTAGGTCAAACTGGTTTATGAAACTTCTGTCCCAGACCTCTTCCTAGTTCAAGTTAAATCAGAGTCCCCCAGCATTTTGTGCCATGCTGTGCTGTCTGCTCTAGAGAGCAGAGCTGGCTCCACCCCTCTGCTCCCTAGCTAGAGCATTGAGGGCTGGCTACTAGCTGGTGCACTGCCCCCCCACCCCCAGCAAACCCCTGTTGGGGCCAGGGTCGGGGGTTAAACTTCCCTTCCCCTGAGTACTGATCTGCCCTGCCCTGCTGGCTGCAAGCATGGACTACAAGTCCCAGCAGCACCTAGAAGCAGGAAGATTAAATGATATACAATTCTGCAGAGTCCTGCTGCTGTGACTGGACTGCAGATCCCAGAGACTTTGGGGTCAGCATGAAGAGGAAGCGAACACAACCCATGCTGGTTATGTGCCAGAGTTATGCTCCAGCGACACCCCTCCCCCTCCAGCTTCTGGCTTAAGCCACAGGAGGCATGTGGCTGCATTTCCTGAATCAAAAGTGAATGTCTGGTTTTTTTTGCTTATTAGTTCAATCTTCACAGCTTAGACTAACCTGCAAAGACTGAGTCAATTCAGCTGTGGGTTTTTTGACAGTTTGTACTTAGTCATAGTGTCACAGGGGAGTCGCCACAATTCTTCTGCCGTCTTTCATTAGTTAAAAAGTAGCTGGTGCTGAGATCACTCTTTATATATATGTTCTATATGATATAGTAGGATATGACCCACCCCAGTAAGATAAGTAGTCAGTACAGCTCCCAAAGAGCAAAGTAGACAACTGTCACTGATGTGGAATAATGCTAAGTTCTTTTTGTGAAAGTACCTGCTACTTAACGGTCACTAGCATCTCCCAGACACAGCTTAGGAGGATTATATTACAATTGTACAGTTAAAGCATTTATTTCAGGCTGCTGAAAGGAAATTAAGGGTTGAATTATTGAAATACAATGCAGTGATCTTTTAGTGTGTGTGTGTGTATAAATTCAATATCTCAAAGATGAGAAGCTACCAGCATGACTAGAAAACTTCTTTTTGTATGTAGAAGCATCTGTCTGGCATCCTAGGGAAATATTATCTAAATTTGGATCAGTATTCCAGCTACTCCAGAAAAGCTGGATAATGTTCAACTACTGCTAACTGTATTAATATAAAGCTCTTATCTTGCATATTGTATCCACTACCAGTACAAGAATCTAGTAAAGGTAAAGGAATAGTAAACACTGAAACATTGTAACCATATGGTTCATATCCTGTTTAATTTGCAGCAGGTTGCTAAATTAAGAGCAAGTTGCTTCGCTGAATGCTGTCACTTCTTATTTCCAAGGGTGCTGCTTCTCTGATCTTCTCTAGCACAGCTGTGGTTCTGCATGGTGGACAGGAGAAATAGCACCTTTAGAAATTAAGAGCTGCATTTAACAGCCAGAGAATCCTCTGTCATCCTATGTAGCTGTATTTTGTGGCTGTGTGTGGCTTTAGTTCACAAACCTTCAGCTTCACAGGGGTTAGGAACCTATGCCTGTGAAATATCCAGGTTGTGCTGTATCATGAATTGCACTTTTTTTTTCAGAAGTCTCTCTTGGTACTTAAAGGCAGTCTGATCTAGCCTCACTTAAATGTACAGGTCAGTGACTAGTGGATGCAACCAGCTGATGGTGTATCAGGTGTTAAGTGGGGAGGGGGTATTTTTGTGTATTAAGCACCTTTTTATTTTTGAGAAAGTAAACAGTCTTAGGAGGTATAATTACCCAGCCTTTCCAATATAGGATATCACATCTGGATACAGGTAGAGGAGATTAAATGTAAAGGAAAAGAAATTCCCCAAGGAAAATTTCAACAATAAAACATTTTTTAAAGTATATTTTAACATTAAACATTTCAAGTGCCTATCCCACACAGGTGGTTTGGGTCCAAAAATGTAGTATAGATAAAACTTTGAATGGAACGAATAAAACTTATGTTTGGGTCAGTTCAAAGACAGGGTAGTGCTAATGTGAGGATATTACAAATAAATCCTCAACTTGTTCTTTATTTTGTTCTTAGCACTGAAGACAAAGGCAGTGAATTATGATCCACTGGTCTAAGTCATCACATGTACAATGACAATGCCTGTGCAGACTGATGTAAAGCAACTTCTTGGTAACTTGTGCCTTCTGCTGCAAAATAGCCAAATTGGACATGAGCTGTATCTAGAGAAAACATGCAAGAAGTGTTTAATATTACCTAATTTACCGTAGGTAAAAACGCGAGTATAGTTCTATATACACAGAAATGCTGGACCTGGTGATTTTTGTTACTACCTTTTAACATCCAAAGGAGCCAATAGCGATGTGTTGTTTGCATAGCCAGTCAGAAAGAACAAATTGTAGTTTTCTGTCTCTCTAAATTATTAGTGGTCTTACATTGCAATGTAAGTATCCCTCAACAGCATGCATTCTGAAAAGTTTCATCACTCTAATATTTCCAGTTACTTGTGATGTTTGAAATTTGACAGTCATTCTTGCCAGCTAACCTCTGTGCACCTTTATTTCTGGTCATAAAGGTGCTTGGGGCAAAAGGTCATTCAGAAGATAATAAATGAATAGTGGAACACTGTCAGCATTTTGCTATCAGGTGTAAGCTGGTAATATTTTTGTGTATTTGCTCTTTCTTGTTTTGTGACGGTGATGCATCTTTCTTTCCCACCACTGCCCCCACCCCTTTTCTTTTCCTCTCAGGTAGTGACCAAGACGTTTCATGGAGCAGGTCTTGTTGTTCCTGTAGACAAAAATGATGTTGGGTACAGAGAGCTCCCTGAAACAAATGGTAATTTTATCTTAATTTTTTTAAGTAAAAATATCCGTGTTGAGATTTAACTTAAGCATATTCTTTTGCTTTAGGTTTTAAGCTTCTGCTGAGTTGCAAAATATAGACTGCATTCACACTGCTTCAATAATAGCATGAGAAATGTATAGTATTCTACTGTTGGAATACATTTTGCATATGTATATTTGATTTGTGAACTTTTTTTTTTAATAGACAATAAAAGAGTCTAGTGAAACAGTAAATTCAGTTAAATCCAGTTACCTGGCTTTCATCTGTATTGGCACTGAGACATGTTCCATTTTTGTCTGATTATACAAACTCCATTGTAAGAATTCAGTTGTCATTTTAACATGGCAAAATGTATTAAGGAGTCCTGAGGCAGGAGCCACTTTTGAATGTGTCCAGTTCTTGGGAGTAATTAAAGGAGCAGCAGCTGCAGACTCTGGAGCATGGGTTTTCAGCCACTTCTACCCATGCTATCAGAACCATCAGTTTTTCTTCCTGTGACCCTATATCCAAGAATTCCTTGCATCTTCAAACTCTTTTGGGCTGCTTTGAGTGAAAGGGATCTGTGTACTTCCTGTGACCTATTGTCTACTTGGTATACAAATGTAAATTAAATACCAGTTTTAAATGTTTTGTTGCAGCTAATCTTAAAAGAATTTGTAAGGCAATTGTGGATGCTCCTAGCGATGAAGAGAGACTGAAAGCCTTTGCTCCCATTCAGGAAATGATCACTTTTGTTCAGTTTGCAAATGACGAATGTGACTATGGAATGGGATATGAACTGGGAATGGACCTCTTTTGCTTTGGGTCACATGTAAGTACTAGAATGGTTCTAGTTCACGGAATATATTCTGTGGGGTTTGTAGTTAAAGGAGGACTGGACCTGGTTTTGCTTTCCTGTCCAAAAGTCACTACTAGGGATTGTGCAGAGAACAGAGACCTTGGGTGCATGGGAATTATGATGAATTGTTCATTTTGTGTGTGTGTTCATATTTACATATGTACATATATAACTTTTCCCCAAGTCCCCAGTGTTTAAAGTTAGCTACTTGGATAGCAGGATTGATCTTCTACTTAAATTTCATGGTACTTGTGACCCAACAATCCAGAGGCAATAGAATAAACTTAAATGCAAATTAGGTGTCTGAAGATGCATATAGGTACCTAATGAGATTTACATATTCTCTTGCCAAGTACCACTCTGCAGCTTCAGCTATTTGAATGCTTCTATAAATCCAGTCCTGTAATAATATTAAAATATTTTAAGTTAATTAATTAGTAAGAATGCTATGTACTTGGGGCTACAATCTCTTTCAAAATGTGTCTAGTTACTTCATTCTGCACAATCTGCTACCTTCTGTGGCTGGTGAGTACTTATGGCCTGCCTGTGGTAAGTCTAAGGAATTACAAAAGAAAAGATCCCTTCCTGATTCAAGTTAACTCACAGTGCCCCAGCATCCCAGGGTGCTTTGGAGAGACCAGGGTTGGCCCTGCCCGTCTGCTCCCTAGCTGGAGCACTATCACTGCTCCGGCTGGCTGAGAAGTGGGTGGGAAACCTGGCTCCAGACCACAGCCAGGTCTGCTAGCCAGGGGTGGAGCAGCCCCTGCTAGGCTTTTCCCCCACTTGCCACTGGAACAAAGGAAGTGGGGTGGCCAGACCCTGAGGCCAGGCAGGCAGAATGAGGCAGAGAGGGAGAGGGTGCTTTAAGCCCCCTCCCCCGGCTCAGGACACCAGCTGGGGTCTGCCTGGCAGGGGATGAAGGAGGGAGAGGAGTTTAAACCACTCTTCCTCCTCCCCTTTGCCTCCGCATGCGGGCCTCGGGCCAGTGTCACACCTCCTCCACTTGAGCTGGAGGGGAAAGCTTGGCAACAGCTGCTTCCCCCTTGCCAAGCAGATCCCTGCTGGGGTCCCATGCAGGCGATTTTTTTGGGGTGGGGTTTAAATCCCCATCCCCTCTAGCATGCTGGCCTGGACTGGGGTCTGACACCCCACCCTCCTGTCTCCCCTGCCCCCCAACTCCTGGGAAAAGCCCAGCAGGGGCTGCTTCCCTTTCCCACCCCCCTCCCAGGAGATACCCTGGCTGGGGTCCCTGCAGGTCAGGGTGGGGGTTTAAATCACCCTCCCCAATCACTCAACATGCCTCCCAGCATATGCAGGGAGTGGGGAAAAGCCTGGAGGACTTCTTTTCTTCCAGCTTCTTTCCAGCCACTGCTGAAGGGAAGGCAAGGCTTGCTTTAGCATCCCCAGCTTCTTGCCTGAGCCACTGCAGGCCTGGGGCAGCATTTCTGGAATGTCTGTTCACTTCCTTTTTGGTTTAGACTTGCAAAGATTGAATTGATTCAGCCTTGGGCTTTTTGACTGTCTGTACTTAACCTTACAGACCAGTGGATTCTCAGTCTTTTTAGACTCAAGGTAACCCTCAGAAAATGTCAACTTTTAGCTTTCACTATAGAAAAATAAAAGATTCTTCTGTAGCAAAGAACTCAAAGACCATAGTGAGTCAGAATGTGTTTGACACTGGATTCCTATTTGACATTTCTGGTTTTATCTTGGGGAATCATGTTTTAGGTATTTGCTTTACAGAACTAGACCTGCAAGTTATGTACTGTGGCACCCTGGCTTTGAAATACTGTTATGGGCTAACTTGTTCA